AGTATTCATTAAGTAACAAGTAATTTATGATTTATCTTGACAACATAGTGGGCTCCTATGGGATGCCAAAGCTGTTAAAGACATACAGTCCATGGAGTTATAACTTACAAAAATAGCATATTAATGTGAACGATCATCTGGCAGTGATGAATGCGACTGTAAACTGTTTCCTGATCATATAAACTAAATAGAGAAATACACGCGTGTCTGTTGAGTATGAAAAGGCGGGCTTTAAATACATAAATGACTGGGCCATCGACGCACAGTGATGACGCACTGAGACGTATCCAATTTGCGACGCGCTTGACATTTTTCTTCCCATGAGGGGTTCGGTTCGCAGTAAAACGTTAAGACACAGTTAAACCGTGACTTCTTCTCATCTACGACATAATGTCTTTTCATGACGACGAATCCTCGGACCTGGGACTGGCGGGGCAAACCAAGCTGGAGAGCTTCCTGTTCAGTAAGAAACCTTTGTGTTTTCCTCTGCATTTATACACTTCTGTCAGCGCACACGTGGGTGTCACCTGTAAAGCTTCTCTAACATTTCTGATAGAAATGAAAATGAACTTGGACTTATTTAACTTTAAGTTTTCAGACGTGCGTGTTTGAAAATACACTGGCCGTGTTAATAATCAGTTAATTTTGGGTTTTCTAGGCTGCGAGCTCTCCTCCAAAGTCCCGTTTTACACATTCCAGGAAGATGAGGAAGAAGAGGAGGAGGAGGAGGAGGAGGGCCTGGAGCACTTCCTAGAGCTAAGAACAGTATGTCTTAAAAGTTTCACACCCGAAATTAACTTGACCTATAGGCCAATTAATTACATGGCTAATCAGAGGGAGACTACTGTAAATATTGTGCCTAGTTTGAAGATGCAGCTGTTAACTTTTGACATTCCTTATTCCCCTGCACTTCACTTGTCAATGTCATTAAATAAAATACACTCTGTATCATAAGATTTCCATGCTACATGGTTTAGTGCAGCAAACTAGAGTGAGCACTCTGAATAAAGGTCAATGAATTTCCTGCAGGTTTGTCTAGGAGAGGGTGCCAAAGAGGAGAGCAACGTGGTGGAGGTCACAGCCATGAACCACCAAGGAAAGACTGTGTCAGTGCCCATCGCCAACCTTCACATTAGCTGTCTACCCATGGTACACTGCAGTGTTGTGCAGAAAAAAAACTCCATAAACAGTGGAAACATGTTAAAGGCGTTAAATTCTGGTTATTCTCTGTCCTCAGGTGAGTCTAGGAGAGTTTGAACTCAAAGCACCAGTGACCATCAGATTAAAGGCGGGATCAGGACCAGTAAATGTCAGCGGACTGCACCTCATTGGTAACTAAAGCCTTCCAAACACTGTATCTTTTATTCTTATTCTTCAGCATTAGTGATACTTGTTTTTACTTCTCTGCCACTCACATGCAAATAAATGTTCAAAAGAACTTGTTCAAGTATAGTTTAAATATGAGAAAACACAGTTTACACAGAAAACTCACATTCAATATAATAACTACCACAGTTGAAAATGTACAATTTTCTGCTTTATGGAAAAGAACAGCTTGTGTTATAAGATAAATAAGATTGTTCAGCAAGAACTAAAGACCTTACCTGAGTTCAGTTGATGAATCAACGGAGTTGTTCTGTCCTTTGATTGGACTGTGCCACCAGAATCCATATGCAGTAGTTAACACTGTTTTTTTTGTGCAGCATCAAAGGTGGAAGACTCCGATCTGTCTGGAGAGGAGGATGAAGATGATGATGAGGAGGCTGAAGAGGAGATCACCCCTATCAAACCTGCGAAAAAGAAGCAGAAGCAGTAGATGAGAGGCTGTTCGAGAATTTTGGAAGGGCCTTATTAAGTTATTGATTTATTTGTACACCAAACACCAGTCTTTTGTTTCAAACAGAGACTTTATGCGGAGCTGCAGCTTCCTGTTCACGGCCTTGTGACTCTTACTGTGTGCTGTGGATGCCTCTCCTCTCAGTCAGAGCAGCTCACCTATCTGCTCCACCTAGGACATTACTTGTAAAATAACTTTTGCTACTAAATAATCCCTAGTGGTTTTTTTACTGCTAATCATAGAAGTCACAACCCACTCATGTGGAGTGACCGCACCGATGGTATAAGCTACATCTTTTATCTCCAGTGGATTTTGGTAAATTTTGAAGATGACTGTTCTTACAGTACACATTTAAGAACACATTCCAACAGATGTGACTTCAAGACAAAAAAAAAAAAGATTTTCCAGATTGCTCTTATATAGGTCCATACAGAATATCAAATGTCTGATTAAAAGTGTTTCTACTTGCAGGTGTTTGAACTTCAAAGTACTGTTTTTCTATAAAAGTAAATGTGAACATTTTGTACATGCAGTGAATTCTGTCTCATTTTTATTTGATTGCTTTTTTGGGGATGTGGCCAGTGGGGCCAGTTAATGAACATGCCAGAATATTTATATATATATATACACATATAGATTATATTTTTAGATGGAGCCATAAGGCAGGAGAAAATGGGAAATCTCAGAGAATATTCTGGGGCATAATGGACATGAGATGGTTGTGTAACAGTATTATATAATCAGTTTTTGAATAATTAAAAATGAACCATCTTTAAATATGAGCAAAAAATGTTTTCAAAACCTTAGGTGTGAAATTCTCCAAGTATTTCTCTGATGCAAACAGCCTGCAGAAATGTTTGGATTTAAAAGGAAGATATGCAGAGAAATAGTGTCATTTTCATATTTGTTTTATTTCCAGTTATGGGAATTTTGGACTGGCCTACATTCAAATAATTAAAAAAAAACAATGTGCATTGCGTGAAACTGGAGTTTTAGGTGTGTGTGATTTCAGTACATACAGTTCTTAACGGTTATAAATCTGAAGTAATCTGAAGCTAAATTACTTGGAAACAATTAGACAGGACACCATCAGTCGTTAGTGTTTGTCCATGTTTTAACAGCTGTAACACATGTACTCAGTGTTGGACCAGGCAGCAGGGACTATGCAGATTCAGAAGGGAAAGTGAAGGAACACAAAGTCCTTCGACAGCTGATAAATGATGATATGGTGGACTCTTCCCAATGTTATTCATCCCAGCTCCCACCCAGTCGTAGCGAAGTGACACAGCTGAACATAGTTCCCTTGATGACAATAAATGGCGTAAATTCACCTTTCTACTGTGGGACACGCTGCCCGCACATTGTCACTAAGTTTTATGTGTTTATTCCCAGTTTTATTTAAGCAAAGGAACTTTAATTTATTGTTTTTAAATATTAACGTAGGGGAATACATAGCTTAATACTTACCCTTTTTAGTCGACGCTAAATCATACGCCATTTTCAAGTGAAACTGTTCTCAATTCAAACGCCCACATTAAATAATATATTAACCTATTTTCCGTATTAAAATATGAATAGGCTACACCTTAAGCCTTTAAAAAAAAAAAAAAAACTTAAATAACACATTAAACGCATAGTCCGCCATATTGGGCTGCCGTGATTTTCCAGTGGCCCGGAGTGGAGAAATAACTAGTCTAATGAACGTTTATCACACGTTACTTTAAACACTACGAGTTCACAAGTAGTTGACGCACACCACGTGACAAGACGTAACCTCTTGACGTCATCAAACACACCAACCTTTACGGCATGCGTAGTACAACGATATTTTAAAGAGGGAAAAGAACAAATATTCTGTTCAGTCTATTTTCTTTTTTTGATTCGTTATTTTTGGAGTAATTCCTTCTGTGTAATTTCATATATTTCCTACAATATTTCTTTGCCTCTTAGTGTAATTTTTTAAAAAGTGTTTTGACATTTTTCTTTTGTTTGGATATTATTTATTCACTCCAATAACTTGTCTTTGTTTGGTCCAGCGACAGCGATAAGTAGAACAATTAAACAATCTTCCACTAGGTGGGAGCAGATGGCTCTAAAAAGTTGAAAAGTGAAATATCCAGACCTGTTGAAAAAGATCTTCAAATGTCTTTATTTATTTTTTCCCAGTATTTCGGGGTAGTGTTCAACTAAACAGGTCGAAGTTTAATACTAAGTTAGTAAATTGTGATTAAATTGAAACTAGAAGATGTTGTTCATTCCTTCTGAGAAAGAAAATTCAGTAAACAGAAAAAAGATTAAATAATAGATAGATCAGATCAATAAATATGCTCACAAAACAAAAAATATGAACGAGAAAAAGAGCAAAAATATTGAATGTGAATGCAGTATGCTTACACATATGTATTATCTTGTACATGTTTCATTTAAAACATGAACAGAGCAGATAAACACTCTAGCCTATTTTTGTCACCATACTTGTTATTTAATTATAAAATCATCATCACTCTAGTGCCAATTACTGCCATGGAGACATGAGAATTCCACTACCTGTGTGATGCACTTGACACTGACAGCAGGTTTCAGTTAATAAGGAGACAGGACTGAGACAGAAGGCTCAAAGTCAGGGAGAGGGCAGAGGTGGTTTCATCAGGGAAAACTTTAATGAATCGTTTTGCATCACCAGGCTGTTGTGCTCGCTGCTTTCACCCTTGAGTGTCTGAGATGGTTGCTTCTTTTACGAGTACAGGAGTGTTTTCCTGTTAAGGTTGGTGTGATATAACACTGCACAGAGATGACAGTACATGGTTTGCTCCAGAACATCTCTCCTCCTATATAATGTGTTATTTGCAACATGTAATTCTGGCTGTAAATAATCATCAACTTGACACATTGCTATTGCCTTTCTTTACTCTGCTTTCTGAACAATGTAGGCCTGTGATCCTGTATTTTTTTATTTTTTTGTTTGGAAAGTGAAGTGAAGTTTTTTGAGGTCGGTACTCGGTGCGAAGGTTTGAGAACTGGTGCTCAACGGCATCATGTGATGCAGAGCACAGTGGGCGACTAGTCCTACAAATAGTTAATGTCACTGCGAGCAGGTGCTGCTGCTGGTGCTCATTTTCTGACTCATAAACCACATCCATCTGGTGAGTGTGCTGAGCGGCAGTTTGTGAACCCTTACACAACTTTTATTGGGTGTGAGACTTTTATGGTACAGTGTCTGTGTGACCTTCGTGCAGAGGTTACGGTTGTGTTCAGAGCCATACCTGTCCTGGGGAACAGGCAGCAGCATGTAAATTGATTTTCTGAAAAAGGCAATGGAAATGATGCAATAACCACCAACAAACAGTTCACACACACACACCAGCAGTTATTCAACAACTCCACGTGTTAAGGAAAATACAGTAACCTCGCCCAACAGATTTAAACACGCCGCTTCACTAAATTCAGCACAAATGTCACTTTTAATGACTGCTGCACTTTCCCCATCATTCCACTTCTTTATGACTTGTACACAGAGAGCATCATTCTGTCGCCATCACATGCCGCAGTCATAATGCACGGCCTGACTCCATCCCTTGGCAAAATCTGTGTCCATTCTTCAAAGGGCAATGTCCTCCAGCTCATCTCAGTACTGTGTGCTTTCAAACTTTTCCTCACCAGTAACTGTGAATTCCTGGTGTGGTTTATATATAAGCCTAGCTTAGCGAAATTTGAGTAAACCCTGGGATGATGTTCCTGTTTGAAGGTCCAGTGATGCTCAAGCTTAAGCTTTCTTCCAGACAGATTTTTTTAAAGGATTTTTTTCCTGATTGATTCAAGTCATCTTTGTAGTTCTCCAGTGGCTCCACAGTATATGACACAGTACTCACAAATGTTTCTTTTTCATTGCATTACTGTAAAGAACAGAAAACTATACAGTACTACCTAATAATATATGAGCATACTGGGGTTTAACTCGACCAGGCTGTCTCAAGATTGTGTATTTTGGTAAATCCAGGTGTCACACACACACACACAAACCCATATTACCTGCATTCTTTGAATGTTACCTGTTTCATCTCCATTGAAACACCCTGGGAATTAGTTCATGTTGCTGCAATTACAATAAGCGACTATACATGTTCATCATCTTTGATGTGTGTGTGTTTGGGTGCATATTAGTTTTGGCACAGACTTCAAAGTCCTTATCAGATAAAGGTTAGCATTCTGCGTGGTTGATGAATAGCTGATCAGTATTCATTACACTCTGTTTGTCCATGTTCCTGTCAACATCATCAAAAGGGCTTTGTGTGTGTGTGTGTGTTGTTTGTGTGTGTGTGTGTGCGTGCGTGTGTGCGTGCATGCACAAGTACTTGCATTTGTTGCCCCTTCAGGACCAGCAGTTTCAACAGTACCTTGAGCCTAGTTCTAAGCAGCCAGGTTATGAATTTATATCCAGATATACCACAGTCACTGCCCGAGCAGCAGCAGCTACTGTAGTATTTAATGTGATAAGACACTAAATCTACAGAGCTATGTTCAATATTTGAGTAGTGCTGTCATCCAAAGTCTAATCCAGTGCACATTAGCTGATGTGCTGATGTGCACATATGGGAGAGCCGAGCATCCCACTAATAATGAAAAACATTAGGAATAACTTTTTGGCAGAACCATCGTCCAGGTCTCTGGGACTCTTAGACGGAACCATAGCCAGCAGAAAAGTGTTCTATGGTCAGAAAAATCCATGTTTTATTGACATGGACTCCATGTGTCAAAATGAGACTGATATCAGTGAGCGGTGCAAAGTCCTGTATCTGTAACGATAGGAAGCTGCAGGGGTAAATATGACGTATGAGTGCATAAGTCATTATTGATTCAGATGTTAAAGACACTTATGAGTCAGTGAAGAAAAAGCAATTCATCACCACAGTTCAAGGCTTCACTCTGCACAAATGTATGTGAGAAACAGACAGTTTGCAATTCTATTGAAAATGTCTTGCACGTCAAGAGGAGGAGAATCAGACGATGGTTTGAGATGGTGCATCAATTCCACTACCTGTAACCAGTAGTATATGGAGATAGTATACGACAGATATTAACATTTGTTCATTTAAGAAATATAATTTAAATAAATATCTTTTCAGTGACCTTAAAAGTCTTAGTTGAATTATTCTGAAAATGTGTTCCTTTTATTACAGTATGTATAAATCACAGAGCTGAGAACTGTGTGAAACAAAGAGATAGTGCTCCACTACACCTCTTTAGCCACTGGCTAAAGCACATAAACAACAGCTGCACAACAGCTGACAGTTCCACCCGCACACTGAACTCACACACACACACACATGCACACACACAAAACTGGCTCACGTTCTGCTGCAGGCATGGGTGTGTTGTGCCGACTCACATACAGCTTCAACACACCTGCCACAACAGAGCACAGCTGTCAAGAGCATCACCCTTCACCCTGTTCATAACCCCGGTGCACACACAAACACACCCACACACACACAGCTCTACCTCTACTGCACATACATGTGGAAGCACACAGGCTGATTGTGTGCTGACACCTGAGCTCACACTTTCTTGCACAACAGGATTCAACATTTCTGTCGACGGGCAGCGAAAAAACCAAACAGTTTTTTTTCTCTACGCCTTCACTTTTTTGTGCTGCTGCTGCTGCTACTCTGACAATTTAGAGTTAGACTGTGTAACCACCTGCAGTGGTATTTATAAGGAGACTACAGACTGTGGTAGTGATTTTTTTTATTAACATTTTACAATGTAAATGCAGCCACAGAGAGAAACCCACAGACGTCAATAAAATTATTTATGTGGATTGCATTAAAAGTGTGCTCTCCCCCTTAGTATCCACTGTATGTTTTATTAATAACACACACAGTAGGAATGGTGCACAAGGGGAATGCTAATAGATTTACATCACTCTGTGACACACACACACTCACACACACACACATGTCAAACCGATGCTGTAACTAAACGTCAGCTCCACCTCTTCTTCCGCCTCGTGTATTCGCTGCTAATGAGAGTATTCTTCTTCTAGACGTGTATCAAAAAGTTTTCTATTAACACTCTTGTATTCAGGTTGGGAAGAAAAACAGACTCAGAACTGCTGAGTATAAAACTGAAAATGAAACATAAGAGGCAAAAATTTTATAACCCATAAATTAGTGATGCACCTCCTCCTCTCAGCCTGGTGGGGGGGGGGGGTAAAGGGACACAGGGAGATGAGGGGAGTCTCTGAGTGACAGATAAGTAGATGACTTTACTGTCGCAGCCCTTATTAAAAAGCTATGCATATAGCATCCGCCGCTCTGACCATCTCCTCCTCCTCCGCCTCCTCTGCATCGAGTCCTGGCAAATGACACCCCAGGAGAGGACGAGAGGGAGGTGCCACTCATCAGTTATTCCTGTTCTCTGACCTAACTTGACAACCAGCTCCAATAATGAGACAGAAAAGGGATGCAACAGAGACCGGGATGTTGACAAGGGAGGGAACCGTCCTCAACCAGCAGACCATACATCTGCTGTTCCCTGGACTTCAACCGTCAACACAATCTCCACCTCCGTGTTCTGTAATTCCTCCAAATCCATTAAACATCTATTATGAGGTCATCTGCTGTTTTTTTTATCACCAACTTCACTTCCTAACTATGAATAGACCGTAGATAAGTTTGAGGGTGGGATGCACTGAAATAACTTCTGGTCTGTTTCTGTTTCCACAGGAAGCTCTGACATTTCAGCACGTCACGTAATGTGCTCCTCAGCACAGACGGACCTCGAGCCGTGATGAATTAGTTTTAGAATAATGAACCTCTGCCAAACAGCTAATATTTTCAACCAATAACCTTCATTTCACACGAAATCACCTGATGGCCATGTGCTTTTATACAGAGCAACACTTTTTTAACCACAGCCTTTCTGACCATATTAGTTTAATCAGGGAACCATACATCATGTATTTTGCCAAGAGATAAAAAAAAAAATTACATAAATACACGAAAGAAAACTGAATAACATTGACTTTGGCCCTGGAAGTATTCACCCGTTTCTAAGTATGCTAGAGGCTAATGTCATGTGGGAAGACAAAACTACTGCAGCTACTGAAAAGAAAACTCCTACAATAAAAACCCACTTGTGCTGCTCTGGTATTTATATTTCCTCTAAGTCCCTTCCAACTTCACAGGATTACATTTTTGACAAAACCAAAGCTAAATTCAATCTTTATACTCCCAGTGAGGATGGTGTTCTTTGTGTTTCATCCCTCTCCCTTCCCTGTCTGGCAACATATCTATTAGCATTGAGTAGTTTTTGTATCCTAGATAAAAATGGATGCTCGGTAAATGAAGCATTAATAAGAAATGCTGTGTCTAAAAATTTTCTTGCTCATTTCAAATGCCCTTAGGAAATACCAGGATAATAATGGGTAATAGTTTTGTTGGTAAATGTGTAAAAGGCAATAAAACTAAAAATAGTTTTAGCTCAGTGAGTTTAGAAAAGTGAATTAAGAGGTTCTTTATTTGGTTCCAGGCAGAAACAGGAAATGGTCAAGAGCCTTTTTAGGGCACCAATGAAACCACACGTCAGGACCTGTGATGACGTTTTTTAGTTCACTTCTTTAAGAGTATACTGTATTGTTGACACTGGCAAATGCATTTAATTTGAAATAGACAAATTACAGCGTTGCTGCTGTCACAGTGATTCATTAAATAAACAGTGATTCCCGAAATAGAGCAGTAAAGGAAAACGAAGGGGACCAAAGGAAAAAGCGGAATGAAAATCTGAGACTGCTTCAGCGATAATTCTCTTTTATTACTTGTTGATAAAATGCTTGGCTGAAGACTGTCCATACAGACTGTAGAAGTCAGGCTGTCTGGCGCTGTGGGAGGCTTCCATCAGCCCCCTGACAGGGTAATGCTGCAGCGGCTGGTTCGTAGGGAGTGGAGCATGTGCAGGGAACTCCTGAGAAGTCATGGAGGGGAAGGAGTCTGTCGCCGGGTACGGAGGCTGGGTACGAGCAGCGGGGGCCCTGGAGTAACAGCAGTTATTCTGAGCGCACATCAGTATGTTGCGCCCTTCGTACATGGCTTGTGTTGACGTCTCCCCACTAGGGAAGTGGGAGGAGGAGAAAACGGTCCCTGAGTGGTGGCCAGAGGACGACCCCAAAACCATAGCTGGGTGAGCTGGAGAGTCCAGGAGCCGACTGTGGCCGGGGCCAATGTGAGAATTTTGAGAGAGGAACTCGGAGGAGTACATGGACAGGGCTCGATGGAGGGAGGGCTTTTTACTACTGCAGAGCAGCGGTGGTTGATTCTGGGAGGGTGAGTTTTCTGTGTCACTTTCCCCGAAGCTGATGCTGTATTTTCTTTTCTTTAATGCTGAACGGTTCTCTGTCTGGTAGCAGGCAGAGTTGCTCTGAGGCTGGAAAACCTCCACTATGGTTTCCTCTTTAAACGGTTCTAGGAATAGGGCATCAAAGTAAGTATGAAATATTGCAATCATGTGTGGATTTTTAAAATGTCTTCTTACCTGCCAGAATTTTTCGCAAGTCCTTCTCTCTGTCTGACAGGTCAGAAAGCAAATCATTGGAGTTGAGTCGTCCCACTCTGATTGGAGGAATGGCATGACTCAAGTGTGAATTGAACCTTCAATAAACAAACAAACATTAAAACCTGCATAAACTACATGCTGTTTATTCCTGTGTTCAAGAGCCTTTACCTGTCCAGCAGCATCTTGAATGGTTTGGTATTCTGAAAAAGTAATAAAAAGTTTTTTTTATTATTATTAAAGAAACAGCACACAATGCTGTTATCAGTGTGTATTAGTTGAGCTGAGGCATCAGCCAGTGTTGCACATAATGCATTCTGTTCTCTCTTAAGTCCAACATTATATTCCGTGGCTGTAAAACAATTACTTATGATGCGTTGGTTTTTTTTTGTTTTTTTGTGCCTGTGCAGACAGCGTATGTGAGAGAAATGTGTGGCTGAATTATTTTTACCTTCACACAGTTTATGCTTTCTGCTCTTTGGGATAACATTTGTACTGAGCTCAGGAGTTTTTCCATCTCCTGACGCCGAGCTTTCAGCTGGAGACCCTGCTGAGAGTTCCTCCTCTCGTATATGATGCAGCTGCTCTCCAGCATCTGCATGGTTTCATTGTGCTTGGCTTGGAGCAGCGCATGCATCCTCTGATACTGGGCTCGCAATCTCTCCATCAGTTCAGACACTGCATCCTGTACGTGGGTTGCAAATATGAGTGCTGTTAAGTATGTTAGAAAATAGACCCACAGCAGTTACACAGGGCATCACACTGCTCTAAATTAATTATAACAATGAGTTGGAACAGAGTGGTGGAAAGACTCCAGGAAGTTAAAAAGGTAAAAAACAAACGAGTTTTGTGAAAACAAGTAAGTGGAGTGGCAGCTATTTTAAGTAGACTCAAAAACCCAACTTAATCAATGTGATTTTGTTTAGAACAGTTTTTTAAAAATAACTAGTTTGTCTGTTTTAAAAAGAGTAAAAAGATGCAGTAAAAACAGCTAACATTTTCTCTAATAAAAATACCTAATACTTGAAAAAAGTATGCTAAGATAAAAAAATATTTAAGCTAAAAGTACATTTAAATACACATGTGGTTGTAAGTAACAAAAACAACACCAAAAAAGTGCTGATGTTTGTCTCTTTTTTGTCCTTTATTTGTATGGAGGTCTTGTGGTTCTATACCTTCATCACTGTCCTGTCTGTCTCCAGCCTGGTAATCTGCTCATCTATGCACTGGACACGACCATTCAGTTTGTCTTTCTGCTTCATTAGCATGGCCTGCAGAGGGATAACAAACAGACAGCAGACAGATGAGAACCTCAAAAAAAAAAAAAAAAAAAAAAACCTCTAAGAACAGGGGGAAAAAATACTGCATTTCTTTTTGAAAAGAAAGTGCTGGGATGTAAGTAAATCTAATTGCTATTCATTAATCACTAAGACATCCTTGTCCACAATTGTGATTAAACACAGGAAACAACAGCTGCCGGGCTGCCACTGTCGACCACATGCAGTTATCCATTAGGAGAGTAGTCGAAACAAACGGAATTGCACAAATCCATCTTGGATTGCGTCTAAGTTTATCAGGGAGCCTCCTGCATCAAATAGGAGTCCATTGTTGGGACCAGGCTGCTTCCTCCGTCAGCCACAGCCAACTGCAGTCAGAGCCAAAGGCCAGTGAAAGGCACTAAGTGTTTTTCTCTATTTACTGTTCAGGCTAATTTACAGTCGCAGACTAAGGACATGGGAGGACAGGTTGTGTTTTAAAGTAACTATTTCTCAATGAAAAAAAAAAAGTACCGAACCCGAACACAACCTTCTATAGTAATTAATGTGGGATTTTTTACAACGCATGTTATGGTTCAGTGAGGAGCCAAAAAGCACTGTGGGCGCTGCACCTCCCTGCGCCGCTCTTAACATTTTGCATAGCTTCTTTTGTTTGCATTCACCTCCGTGTCAGTGACAGACTGCTGTGTCTGTGTGCACTCCTGGCCCTTCACATGAGTGTGCATGGGGAGAAACGAAATGGAAGGAAAGGCAAAGTGCTGGGGTGCCTTCTCTTTGTATAGGCTAAACCAACAAGTGATGGTAGAAAAGGAGAAAGACACATAGAAAAGAGAGAAGCCAACAACAAAAAAAAAAAAAAAAGAAGTTGGGAGCAGTGAAGGAGAAGAGAAGGACATTCCTACAGTCTCCAGTGAGGAGGTTACAAGGTTTCTACCCAGCGGTATCACAGCAACAGGCCTCTTCAGCTGCTAACAACACTCCTGGAGTCTTGTGTGCAACAACTGATCGGCCAGTGAGTTTACCGCAGCAAATGACAACATTTGTGTGCTAGTCTGTACGCTTACAATGATATGAAAAGGAAATGAAAAGCCCATGCAGAAACAAGTGGAACAATACCGCTTCTCCTTGTGAAATAATTAATTTTGAGGAAGACAATTGCTGACACTTGTGTCACCTGGGAAACAGGAGAAACATTCCTCCCTGCTCCTCTGGAGGAGGTACTGAATTAAAAGACCAAACAAAACAAACCATGGGATTGTAATGTTCATCAGCAGCCATGCTACCCTGTGTATTTTATCAACTTTTTCTTTGAAAATAGCCAGAAGGCTTTAGTACATTAATATATAACAGTGTTAAAAACAGACACGGTAGGTGGCAGTAATAAAATGTCTGCCATTAAGCTGCCATTAAATCCAATGAAAAAGAAGTTGGGCCTGTTAGCAGAATAAGCTAACGTTACCTAAGCCTTGGGGGAGACGTTTTTTTTTTTCACGAAATCCTTTTGTTGTCGTAAAATTACATTTTAAAACTTAAAATAAAATGTTTTTTTTTGTGCCCCCTTAACCTAAACTTATTTTGGTCTAGATCCACACACAGCCCTTTAGTTCTGCTCTGTTTGTCACCTAGTCTTTTGGGGCTGTACATTAGCTAATAGCTAACTCTGTTCTAAGCTGACTCTACCAGGGCTGCTTTGTCTTTAATGTCAAATTGCTGACAAATCCTTTCCACTGGGAGCAGAGAAGTAGGTGGTGGAGTGCTGCTGGAAAAAACAGCCCTGAAAACACGAACAGAGGTTAACTACAGTGAGTCAAACATTAGGCAAAAGTTAGCTGAAAGACGACATTGCTGACAACAACTTAGAAACAGCTCATTGAACTGGACGCCTTCAGCCACACAACAATAAAATGACTTCCCATCTTGCATTTTTTCAATGTATAGCCATATAATTATGTCTGAGTTTGACTGGTGACAAATGACTTGTTATTGTTGTACAACATCCAAAAGATGCTGCGTCATGATTTGCATATTCTGAAGAATCAGGATGTTGTAAGTCATCCTGTTGGACACATGACAAACGACACCGTAATGTGCCTCTCTAAATCCTGTTTTATTACCTTCACAATACCTAAGGTAGTTTTTTTTTAATTATACCACAAAACAAATTTCACACATTTCACATGCTGTGATACTCACATAGTAGATACTTTAAGGTACTACAGACTTGTGTTAATGATCAGTATCTTCACACCCCATCACAGGTACCTCAAGGCTGCCTTCCGTTGGTACTGTTTATTAATAAATTGTTAAACGATGAATGCAAATTGTTCTTACTGCTGAAACATATAATTGCTAAGATGCTCCTGTACAACAAGCTACACCTTCATGGATTTGCCTTCAATTTCCTTCTCAGAAGTTGCAGGGAAAGGTCTGACCTGCGGATCTGTCTGCAGCGTCATGAAAGCCTGTCTTTGTCAAGATAGAACTCACACCAATGATCACTTTCCTACTTTCCCATTTAGGCTCCCAGACCCCCATTGATAGCCAGAGAAGCTCATGTTTAAATGAGGAGCCTGGGGGGCTCAATGAACAGAGAGCATCTTTCACTATCAACTAACAACTATTCCTATGAATGAAGCAACGGACAGCACTCAGCATTCTGGGCAACTGACTCACTCGGCCCTGGTTACTGGAGACTGCAGAAAACAGAGCTTCCATGAGCAACAATTTCCTGTTGCAACACTTTTAAAAAAAACAAGGTGAAGTTGGGTTGGAGGTTTCGTCCTATCTCTGCTTATCAAACAGGCACCACCATTTCCATGGTCAGTCCTTATTATTTCAAGTTTTCCGAGTCAACTGTCAAGGTAACGGTCTTCTAAAGATAGCTGCGAAGCTGTTGGCTCTTTCAATCTGACCAATTTACTGCAATGTTAATATCTGAAATGATAACAGGAATCCAACCAGGGGAATTTCCACATCCTTTGACCAAATGAACAACAGATCCCGTCACACATTAAACATTAACATTAAACAAATTCTCAGTAAGACAAACGTAAAAGCAAAAATGAAATCAGATGACTTGGGGAGGTGACACATTAATCAAAGGCACTGAGCTTAATTTAAATAAGCCAGGAACCCAGTCTCCATGTTACTTTGTTATTCCCACACATGTATGGCTGTGAAGTAACAGAATTGTATGTATGTGTGTGTGTGTGTGTGTGTGTGTGTAGAGGGAGAAAGAGACAGAAAGAGAGCAGCAGTGGAAAGGGCTGAACAGACATCTTTGACCCAATAATAGCCAAAGGCAAGAGCAGGAGTTTGCATCAAAGACTGATAATTAAAAATTAAATCATCGACTCACTGCATAGATATGTGCCTGTAACTCCCTGAACTGTAAAAAAAAAAGAAATTCCCAAATAACACCGCAGATGCCTAAAGTCAAAATACTGCTTAAGGTCAGCCATCGTAAATGGATGGCTGTAAAATAGAATGGACGGCTGACCCTCTCAGTGCATTTGTAAAGGTGAAGTACTAACAAGAAGTACTGTAATACTGTGGGAACGACAGCAGTGGACAAAGATAGACGCACCTTCTTAGGTGGCGACCAGCCAACGCACACCATTATTCTCTTCTTGTCAGGTAGGTGTGCTCAAATACTTTCTAAAGTTTTTTCAGACACACCGAGGTGTTAACATGGTCGGTTTTCACTAATATCTTTTATAAAGGAACACATTTCTGTCTCTAAAAATCAAATTTCAAAGCACCGACCAGCCGAGTGAGCGGTCATTAAATCAGTGGGACTATAGTATACAGACTGGAGTGTTTGGAGTAGAAGGTGTGGGCAGGTTTGCCAACACTGCAAGCAAAGGTGACAAATGCCCTGGGGCAACAGAGAGGGGGGTGGGGGAGGGGGCTTACACTGGGATGGCTAATTATTTCACTCTGACAATGTCTTATTAGTTTTTTTATTTGGCTATCTACAAGATAATTCAATGATATTTCATTTGGAAACCACCCAACAGGGAGGCTATTGAATGCACATATTTATAGGAGTTTTAAAGATATTTTTTCTTGATTTTTGGAAACTTAGCCAAGAGACTAAAACTTTGTAATGCAAGTGGCCTAAATCCACTATTTTTTCCTTCAAATCAGATCGAGGCCAGGTTCATATCTGGTCCTATATCTGGGTAAATATCTGCTATTCTTTTTAAAAGGTCAAACCAAAACTGATTTGACCTTTTGTTCATTAATGTGACAGGGACAGATTTCACAGTTCTGCATAGGAGGAGGTTGGAAACTGCAAGATGAAATGTAAACAACAGAGGAAACTATTACTAAACTAGCATGGTTGATGGAGCTAGTAAGTGGAAAAGAAAAAGATTGTTGAAGCATTGCTTGCTCTCTGGGTGTGGGGTGGTCTAGGGAATGGTGGTCTCAGTGAGCTTCTACCCCCGGAGATCTGGGGATTTTTTGGGGGCTGTGACAGCCCCAGCCGCAGGGATCGCCCAGGCACTTGATGACAAAGTGATCAAATTGATTTACAAAGATCGCACAACTTCAACTCTGACATGCACAGCATCCATTTTAGCATCTGTAAACACAGCATTTGAGTCGCAGAGGGCACACTATACAGAATAAAATGATAGATTTTTCATTCTTAACTTACTGTCTGCTACTTTTCCTGCTTTATTTCAAATAAAAAAAAAACACCGACGAAAGATCATCAATCACAAACTGTCACCCACATATCACTTTAAACAGTGTCTAGAAAAGTTATGTGCGAGAGAAATTTATCTACCTGCACTTGTACTCGTTTTGTATCCACATCACGGACGTGATGTCTTTTTTTAGAACAGTGGGAGATGCAGCACAAAGGACACAGAGCCACCTGGTCTTCCTCACAGTGCAGCAGCCTGTAGTCCTCATGTGTGGGGCAGGTCCAGGCGCTCAGCTCCTCAGCGTCCACTAACAGGTGTCCCGGTGCAGCACAGGGCTGCTGCAGGTGTGTTTGGATGTGAGTCTGGCAGCAGGGCTCCTTGCAGCGCAGGCAGACCTTGCGTACGGGCAGCGAAGGACCTCGTCTGCAGAGGGCGCACTGCAGCACAACAGGGGCCTTCTCGGTATTTAATGCATTGAAACGATTGACAATGTTGGCCAGTTTGAAGTTTTTCTCCAGTACGGGTTTCTGGCTATATTCATGGTTGCATTCTGGGCAGCGGATCCCAGTGCTGATGACACCAGACCACGCCTCTGAGATGCAAGTTTTGCAGAAGTTGTGCTTGCAGGGCAACTGTACTGGTTCTTCGAAAACATTGAGGCAGATTGGACACAGGAGCTCCTCTTCCAGAGCATTTTTCCAGCTTGCATCCATGACCTCTGTGGCTGGATTCAAATAGTTGCTGTAGCAAGACAAGAGGGTTATAGGTCATAAATGACACGGAGCAATACAACCTTGTATAGGTTCATGAAGAGATCAAAGTTGCTTTGGACTTTCTCTGAACTCTGGTGGTTGACTTGAAACAGCTTTAATGTGTTAACAGACACGTTCAATTGTCCTTTAAGACTTGTAATACGGAACTGTACAATACTGGGCTATTTTTGCTAAACTACAAAAAATAGGTTACAACCCTTAAACTGTCTGGTGACCTTGTGTTTTGAATCCTGCTGCACATGGAAACACTGAACTTGCTCCTGTTTTTACTAAGCCTGTCCAAAGTCCAGTCTGGGGCCAAGTCATGGCCCACTTCGATCTCTTCAATCTTCTCTGTGATCACCATGACAATCAAAGATGAAAAATACAAACTAAAAGTTTAAATTCCTCTCTTGAGGTATGCAGCAGTCACTGCATCGTCCAATTATCACTGGTGAAAGTTTCAACAGTCAGTATTACATTTTCCCTCATGTTTTTGTCATTAGACTCAAATGCTTGACATATTCAACAAAAGGGGTCTAGCTTTTATTAACCTATTATTTTGTACTTTTTCTTTTACGGTAGAACAAAACCTTAACTGAGTTGTCACAGTTGTGTTCATTTCCAAGTAACTTAACAACATATAATATATATGTACCATGATTATTTCATTTCATTTCATCATCACTTCAGAATATATATGTACCATGATTATTTCATTTTCTATCACTTCAGCTGTTTTAGGGTTGTAATGAGAGGAACTGTAGCCAATCACAGAAGTCAGTTCATCAGTCTATAATAAAAATTTGGCTGGAAAACAAACCTGGGAGGTACTTTAGCGCCACCTACAGGCTGGAGTGTGTGTATCAGTTTTATTGAGAAAGATGCCATTTACGCGTTTGCGTTTTTGTGCCAAAACATATATTTTAAATATTATAAACGGCCAAATATATATATATACTGTATGTGTGTGTGTATATATGTGTGTGTATACATACGTATACATATATACATATATAGTTATATATATAGCTATATGTATTTACATATATATATACATATCCTCTCCCTATACATATATAGGGAGCTGCTCTCGGAAATTTGGCCCTTTAAAACATTTTGGCCACCCCTGCTCTAAACGCATCTAACCCGGACAAAGTCTATCAGAAGTGAAAAACAAATTCCGGAAAACACACCCGTAGTTAATGTCTGAAAAAAAAACCAACAAGTAAAGTTTCCCTTTATTAAAACTCTGACAAAGTATTATTTGTAATATAAAAATGCGAAAACCGGGACTGTATAACGAAATAACGTCACACTGACATTTTATTTTTAGGCGAGCAGATTCTAGTCTACTTCTGTCAGAAACAACAGTAAAGACACGTATATTGGGTTGTGTTTTAGAAACATACAGAGCCAAAGCTTTACTTTTTACCTTATTTGTTCTTCATGACGCGGTTGAGTAATTCCTGAAATCGTCCAGTTTCCTCTGGTTAGGTTAGAACTGAGTGTGAGAACGAAGCACTGCTCCTCCGCACTGCTGTGTTGAAACGAGTCCGGCTGCACTTTGACTGGTTCCGCTTTCCCGTCAACTCTGACTAATATTTGGTGGAAAGTGCAGTCAGTTGGTGTGACTGGTGGAGAAAGAGCGCAGCACCGTCACACCGACAGACTGCCCCCCTCGTCTGTGTGACTACGGTAACGTGAGCCGTCGGAGACCGTACAGACTGGGAGGAGCTCCGGCTGGCAGGAGAGGAGGCAAATGAACGGTCACAGCAAACTCTGCCGGAGAGACTGTCGATGTGCAAACTGCGTGTGACCCGGCCGAGTCCACACAAACACAGTCTAGGTATCATTTTAAAAATATTAAACCTATTATGATTAAAGGCTACAGCATAATTTTTTAACGCTCTTCACTTCCATCATTACGTGTGGACAGTGTTCTTTGGGTTACATGGCTCTCTCATATCTTTTAATTTTATGAGTTTTATTTCATATGACCAAACGATATTGTTCCGGTATCACATCCTCTTCTGCTCCTTTAAAAACCTCCTGTCTTTACTCCTTCGATATGCTCAACTGCCCCCCTCCCCTTATATACAGTACATACTCATACACATATTCCACTTGTTTTCTGGACCAGACCTGACCTGCCTTAAACATTAGCCTAGTCTCTGCTTCGGTAACCCACCAGTCTCCTGTTCCTGACTACGATTCCTGCCTGTTGTTTCCAGATCCCGCCTCTACATTTTCTAGCTATAGTGCTCTGTTTGCTTCTAATAAGGACTGAGTCAGTCCTGACCTGGTTGTGCAGCTATTGGGTCCTTTCCATACCCATGACATTACCCACATTTCCTAGATCACCCAGAGTCCCACAGAAATTCCTTAATCGTTTGACCAAAAAAACACCAAAAAAAAACAAAAAATAAACCACAAAGAGCATCAATTACTCCACACAGGGAGGGGGCACAAACCATTAAAGCAAATAATGAACAAATAATGACAACATAAATACAAACACTGAAGGAAACCAATGTTTTTGATTCTCAAAGTTTTTTTTAAAATTATTATTATAATGGTTTACGGTTTAGATGTCTCTTTGTACTCCTTGCTGGTTTGAGTACTTCAGGGCCCCTGTCCCAGCATTTATCTCCATATATTACAGGATGTTACAGAAATAGTGTTTGTGGCTTCAAAGCTGGGTGTATCTTTTTGAGTTGTGGGATTTTAGGGAATTGGTTGATATTACTGAGTCAAACAAGCTTGAGTTTTATCTGGTCATACTGTGTAAGTTCTGCATTTCTGACACACAACATTTCAGAAAAATTCCAGATCATCTTGCTGCAGATACCTACAATCTTTAATGCACTTTAGGGTTTACAATCGGCCAGTTCAGTCAAGATAGAAAAGATAACAAAACACAGACAACAAAACACAATATTAAGAAGCTTTACATTTGTCACACTGAATAAGAAAAACATTTAAAAAGTTTTTTTAGGAGTACACTTGTGTGTAAAAACACTGTAGGAAACGACATTTGTTTTTGGCATTGGAATGCTCCTGACAGAGTCAGACAGTGAATGTAGCAGCCTTGATCGTAACAGTCCGGAAGCTGAGGGCAGGTGTCACCTTAAAATATGTGGTCCCAGACACCGAGGAGTCTGACTCCCAGGGGGTCTTATTAATCAAAACCAACATTTGTAGTTCATTTGCCACTGGAGACAAGACAGTGAGATGATCATGAACACAGACTCCTCAACAGATGCTAATCAGACGCCTGACTGGTTATGCTAGATAAACAGACATTTTAACCAGTCATGGCATTATAACAGTCATGATTCATGTTAAGACACAGACTGGGAGGGGAGCAGACTGACAACAGTCGAAACTTTGGTATGACCACAAATGCATTTATGAAAAAATGAATGTCCAGCATTTGTAAATACGACACGCACCTCCTGGTTTGAGAAACAGCACTGACACAGTCGATCCATGCGTGACTTTTCTGCCCTTTCTAAGGCCGCTAGGAGAAACAGAACTAGTTTTAGAGAACTGCAACCTACTACTCAGGAAGTCGTGTCTTGTGATTACAGGATGCATGCTCTGCATTAATGACGTCTGACCTGAAAGGCCATGTCGGAGGAATGACAACATCCTGTTTGCCCTGCAGCTACTCTCGTCACCTATGATTGTTTAAGCAGGTCAACCACCTGTTCCGGCTGGATTGTGAGTAATTTGACATTTTTAGACGTCATTCATAATTGTAAAAAAACAAAAAACAAATACGTGGCAAGTTTGACATGGCAGGAAACAGCTCACAGTCTTCAGATCGGTCTCTGCAGGGACAAGCTATCTTTATGGTTCCTTAAGATTACTGCATGTTCCAAAAGCCTTCTATCCTTGGTGGTCCACTCTTGAAATGTGTTTATAGGTACATTACATGCCCTTTGTTTTAGATTAAATATCTTTGCCTCACTGCAGTGGATTGTCAAACACAGAGTCTGGCAGCACAGAAATCTTCAGCTTCTTCTCGGGCCAGCTGTACTCCTTTGGCAGCTTAGTCTACATAAAGTGAAAGGATAAACAAGGTCAAATTAATCACGGGTTAAGCAGAAAAAGTCCAGAAAAGGAGGTGTGTGTGTCATTTCCCTCACTCACCTCTTCACGAGTGCTGAGTTCCTGTAAATCCCCCAGCATCTGCTCAACAAACTCTTCTGTCAACAGTATCTATAAGAGGAAAGCACAGGGTCCAATACATGCATTAAATATGAAACCGCTGTGTGTTGAAAGCAGAGAGTTCATGTGAGATGTATTAATGTGTTAACCTGAAGCCAGGGGCCGTGAGCTGCATAGGGGTGTTCTTCAGTAGCAAATGCTCCTTCAACCCCAGTGGAGACAAATGTAATGGCTGTGTCTCCATTGATGCTTTTGTAAGTGAAATGCCTGCCATGGAGCAGCCGGCCACTATGAGAAAGAAAGGAATAGGAAAGATCAGGAATAAAAAGCAGATCAAATTATAAGGAAAGTACCGTTTCTCAATCTTATGTCTATTTCCTTCAATTATGAAAATCCAAATTAAAGATACACAATGATTGCTGAGATTGATTCAGTTAAAAAAAAAACTTCCCAAAAGAAAGGTAAACACCCAGAGAAGATTTCATAATGCCAAATGTGTGACCAGTATTTTTCCAGCCATCAAAGCCCACTGAGAGGAGAGGATGCAGTACCGCAGGCAGAGTGGCAGCAGTGTGCCCGACTCTTGGTTGAACTTCAGATGAACACTCTCCAACTGACGTGTTCGCACCAATTCATGTGGAACGATAGCTGACGAACTCTCACTCTCTAAACTGTCCTTTCGACTCCTGTGAAACAGACAGCAAAGTAAAAAAAAAATGGAGTGAAACGATGAATGAGGAAGTCTGTAAGTGGCCTATGAGTTTATGCAGATGTCACAGAGACTTCCAGAAACCGGGAGCAGCACAGTGACAAATCCCGACGTGAAGCCAAAAAAAGAAAAGTTCAGATGTTGAAAGCACTGAGTCACTGTACACTGTGGTGGGAGTTTGTCTGATGCAACCTCTATGTTGAACTAAATTCCTGTTAGAGTGTGTGTTGGTGTGGGGGAGGAAGACTCACTGAGGTCTCTCGTGGCTCTGCCTCTGGTTGTTGATGGGCGGTAGTGCTGCTTTATTGTTGAACTCCAGTCCTTTCCTCAACGTCTCCCTGATCTGCTCTGTGTCTGTCAACACAGCACAGGATTAGTACAGAGTCAACTGAAACCAGTCCTGAGGAAAATCTGCTCCGTCTATTTCAGCCTCATCTTCTCTTTGGCCCCACCTTTACTCGAGAGTCTGCGTGGCTGTGATCCTATGCATATGGACCGGCTGTCCTCCTCGTCCTCAGGCGGTCGACTCAGGTCGTCCCACACACATTTGGCACTGACACCGCTAAGGTTGGAACCTTCTGTCTCAATTCCCTGATCCACTCGCTCCTGCTTAGATAAGCAAGGAATGTGTGCAATCATTAACACTAGCTCACACCAAACACTTCCTGTAAGAAAGCAATCGATTAAACAAATATGATTTTAATTTTATTTTGTACCATGGCTCTGGATCAAACTGTCTCACTGCTTCTACAATGTCAGAAGCCAAATCTGCTTAGATCACAGAATGTAATTACTGTTAAAAGTTTATAATGTTTTATTTTCCTCCATTTACCTGTGTGCACTCCAACCAAGTTTGATTTGTCAGTTTAAAGGCTAACATACTCATGCTGACAACAGCTGTGAAGTATACATTTCATGCGGTATAAAAAAACTATATATAGTGCACTAATCTGAGTGGGAGAACCTGATAAGGCCTTACTTGTAGGTGTGGATCAATGTCAAAAATGGTCTCCCCTCTCCTCATGTCTGTGATTAGCCATGGGCCACCAGCTCTGTACACAGGACAATCATCAACATGAATCCAGGTGAATGTGAACACACACACACACACACACACAGTAAATACATTAACAATCAACCACATCCTCTCCCTGTTGTTTCCAACATGTTTGTGGACTGAAAATATGTCTCGGAACTTGTTCTTTCCTGTTTGCACTTGACCTTCAGGAGCCAAATACAAATGTTGTGCTGAGGAAGACACATTTATCTGCTGACCCCACACAAGCCTGCAGACCTGAACTGCTGCAGGTCAAATAAAAAAAAAAAAAAATCACATCCGGTAATGAGTTTCTAACTGACGTGGTCTTACAACGGAAAATTAACCTATGAACAAGAGAACCAGAAAATGACACATAAATGCTCAAACAAAATAAGCTGAAAAGGTACTCTGACAATATTCTGTATCTCTGACTGCAAGTCATCCAGTCCAGTAAAACACAGGTTTACTTACACTTTAACTCCACGCATAAGGTCCAAGATGCCTTGGCCGTTCCACTGTTGGGCTGCCTGTAGCTCCTCTGTACAGACACCCACAATCTGAAGTAGTAAATAAACACTAACTCAATATTTATGGTTGAATAATGATTAAAAAATAGAACATAAACCAGGCACCTTGTGTTGAAAACAATCCCAAAGACATACCCAAGCTTCTTTCAGATTTGCACTGGAGTAAAGAAAGCTTCTGGAGTTTATCCAGAGACTGTACTGTATAGAAGATCTATAGAATCTCCAGATAATATTTTGAGTGAACTTGTGTATGAATGCTGCAGGTGAAACTGCTACGAACTGCTGTTGGGAGTGCATATCACTCAGACCCCTCGTCTCTTTCTTCTGTGCTACCAACATGTACACACAAAACATATAAGGTTGCATACAAAATGGGCACTGCACCGCAGTAATAATAACAGACAAAAGTATAGTATATGCTATCATATCCAGTCATTTCAGACGTTTGAGACTTGACTTGGGACAAATGTCCTCCGACTTGACGTGGAACATTTCCGGCACGAAGACAAGGACAGGTTTCAAATAAAAAAACAGCAGTTGCAGGAACTCACCTGGAGAAAGCTTACTGAGCCAAAGGGTGTATGAATAGGCTGCATCTGTGGGTCCTCTGTGAGCAGCATGTGCTGGATTCGAGACTCACTGTTGTCTAGTGGGTTGTGCCACGAAACATGGTCGCCACTACAAAACGTGTTTTCTGTCAAAAAATAAAAAGAGAAAAAAGGAACATATTGATTTAAAGAATGGCTACATACATCAAAATGTACTGTTACATTTTATTTTAGGTAATGGCAAGGTAAAAACTCTGATAAAACAGGATATAGAAACCATAAAGGTAGTGCCTGAAGGGGAGTGATAGGTGAGGGAACGTAAGTGATTAAAAGAGAAAAATCTGAAAAAGAATTGCAAGAAAAGAAAAACTACATTTCCCTGTAAGGAAACGGCTTGGGAGGTAACATCCACTAGATTTATTACACAAGAAGTGTGAGGGGAAAGACGGCCTGGAATCAACATTCACTTAGCTCGAGGGCTTAGCCCACCCACGTGCAAATTGACCCCAGCTGGAGAGGGAAGAAGGGCTGGGTGAAGAAGAGGAGAGAATAGCCATCTACTTTTCTGTGTGGTTTTCTATAGTACCAACGATTGAACCACGCTCTGTTGTGTGCACTTGAAACAACCTAAGGATATGAAAACCTTGGCAGAAGTGTATGTATCCACTGCTTTAATGCTCAGTTTAAAGTCTCAAGTTTTTTATTGAATTCAAAGCAGAATTCAAACAAATATGCTTTATACTGAATGTAAATACTTTGGAAAAATCCTCTTTTGTTTTCCAATATCATCTAAG